TTTGTTTCTGAGTATTCGGTTCTAGGCAATCTTTTGACATGTACTCCCAATTTATTCAGCTGATGGCTGTACTTTTGCACTGTTGTGCGATTAAAAAAAAAGAACATAGAGATATGACAATTGAATATGATCTACCATTATAGTGTCCTGGAAATCGTTATATTATTATAATAGAATTTCACATTTTTAAAAAATATTTTACGGGTATTAATATTCATCATAATAATTGCTATCACTAGTTGTAATCTGTGTATTTGTACGAAAACTATATGACAAAGAGAATAATAATAAAAAATATAAACAATAGTGAATATTATAACATAATCATAAAAATCGTTTTAAGAAAGGAAGTCTAAATATTATTAAACATTGTTTTATATATAGCGTAGTTTTTCTATCATTAGAATCTCTATCACCACTATTCATTATCTTCAAACCTTTTCGGTTCGTACCTCTAGAAAGCGTCACGTAAAATTGTCCATGCATGGCTTAAATACAGGGCTATTCAATAGTAAGTCGATGTGCGACAGAGATTGCCCTTGACTCTTATTAATTGTCATAACATAGGAAACTAAGAGGGGGAACTGTCTGCGCTGAAATTGAAAAAGCACCCGCAAATCGGATGGTATGATTGTGAGCCTATAAATAAGAACCGCATCACCAGGTCTGCTGCTATTTTCAGTGTCATCCGTTGTTAGGTCGTAAAGAGGCACCAATCTGCTCCAAGCACCGTTTGTGATGTTAATTTTTACGTTGAAAGTTCGGAATTACCATTGGTACTCCCTTAGAAGGAAAAAAAGTAACATTAGTTTAATAATAATACATGCATTTGATAAGGTTATTAATTGCACAATAAAAAAATTACATACAAGTTATAATTAAAAATTTATTATGAATTTGATACATAATTATAATTATTACTATATGATATAACAATAAAATCAGTGACGGATCCAGGAATTTCACTCAGGGGCCCAATTTTAAATGTTAAATAATGAATTTGTAGTTTAAGTCGAAACGCTCATTTCATATAATAATGTATTTACTATAAATATAAATATCAATATGTGTACCGTCAAGGTTCTACACATTTAGAATCCGCATCACCGTCAAACTTTTTTTTTTTTTTAATAAAATGAGATTTCAGGTATTTATATATTATGAAAAAAATATGTTTTTTGGTTGAAAAA